GGAAGACTCCGTCTGTAGTTTCGCTTCTTGGTCCCTAAGCAAGCATCAATATTCGTTGGAACTTGGAAGTATTCAGTGGGCATATGTTTAGAGGGAATTTCTATATTGTTATTTGAAACAGTAGTATATATTTTGTGAAGGGAAATTACTATGTGGACACTAAAGTTCCACTTCTAAATTTTATTCTTGATGTAGACATTTCTCTTGAGACCCATGTGATGACAATAATTTGTCATTGTTTGTTAAATCGGAGAGTAAAAATGAGATAATAGAATTTGAAAATACATGCAATAACACTCTTTATGAAATTATATCAACTACTTTTATTGTTTGTAATACTCGACAGACAGTCATAAACCTGTAATGTGAAATGATATATGGCTTTAAAGTCAACAACAATACTGGACCAGATCCTGTAATGTCGTTGGTCCAACTCGTCCTGCTGGACCAAACCTCATCAGTACAAAGAGGGCTAGAATCAAGACCCCATTTTCGAACTAATTATTGTACTTGGGCTCTACATACAATCCTTATACCATGGACCATGATTCAATGACACTATGAATCTTTGGTACATGTATATGTCTTATGTTAGTGAATCTTTTGTGTATTAATCTTCTATTGTGATTTTTTGCGTTTTGTGTTATGAAATTATGTACCTTACAAGTATGAATTATGTACCTCATCATTTTGATCCAAGGTCCATAATGCTATGTGAATCCTAGTCCATGATATAAATTACCCTCTACATACAACAAATTATGCTGAAAACGTACCCACCTTACAAGGTGGGTTCTATATCCATAATTTCTATACTATAGATTCATAATTATAGAGCTATATGTTCATAATTTTCGATGTTTATATTCCGAATTGTTGAACTCTTTTTTCACAAATCACAGAACTATATGTTCATAATTTGATAACTATACAGTTTAGAAATTATGAATCTATAGTACAGATATTATGAATCTACAATATAGAAATTATGAATCTACAATATTTAAATTATGAATCTACGATTTTGAAATTATGAATCTAAAGTATAAATTTTATGAATTTACAATATAGAAATTATGAATCTACAATATAAAAATTATGAATATGGAACCGTGCCCACCTTGCAAGGTGAGCACGATTCCACAACATAACGTTCCTCTACATACGCCGTAATCCGTATTAGTAATAACCATCAAAGAACAAAGATGCTTACATGAATCAAGGTTCAAATAGTAAGATAGACTTCTAATATATGTTTATTTTTAATATACTACAGAGTAAATTTTTAGTGTAATATATATTTATTTAAATTTGCAGTACAGTTAAAATGAACATTGAGTACTCTAAAAATAAATATGTATCAAAATATAATAAATTTACTAAAAATAAACTTATATCAAGATAACCTTGTAAGCAGACCGGAGTCCAGTATATAATTTGCCAAGAACAAAATGGAATCATTATCCATGGCTCATTGAACTTGATCCAATTCAACTTTAGTATATCAAATCATTCAAGCTCATTAAATCACTTGCATCCCCATGCCAGTCTACAAGTTATTCACTCCATAGAATAGAATCAATAAATCATCTCCAAATTTGATATAACTAAAAGACAAAATAGAATATTATCACCCATCCCAACTCATTTTATTATAACTCCCCATTGGCTTCCGCTCCAAGGCCATAGCCATCCATTACTCCATTAAATATCATATTCACATAATCACATGTTTAGTTTGTGTTTAACTTAGCAATAATTGCAAAATTTTCTAACTATGTATGAATTCCCTTATTTGCAATAGAAAAAGGTATAAAACATATTAATATCGTCAATATAGTTAATACATTGAAGTACCTAAATCCCCTAGAGTGATTCAAGCTACTTCATTCTCTATTCAAATACTACTAGTAGAACAAATCTAAATAAAAAAATAAAATAAAAATAACATGCCCAAGCAGGTGCCTGGACAACTAGATGGCTAAGTGGCTAACTCTACCAACTAGTCAACCAGCCAATTAAATAGGCGACTATCACCTAATACGTCTCAGCCTAGCGGTGCCCTAGGCAGCCACCTAGGCCAGTTTTACAACATCAACTATATATGATATTTTATACTAGTTTATGTTAGGACTACCAAAATACAAGGTAAATGAACAGTAGCAGTGTGAATTAAATTCTTGTTTTGTAATCTTTTGTCATCTTCAATGTAAAACTCAATCCAGATAAGCAGTTTCTTGCAACTTGCAACATCCTACTACTAATGTTTGGTTTATTCAGTATCACCAGCTCTAACTTCAGATCTTGGGGCAAGAAAGCAGCATCAAGAACAAATCCAAGCATTAAACACTACCAAATTTGTACACTTCTATGAAGTTGTGTAAGGAGATCCTAGTCTCTTCATTAACAAATTTCAAGGATTTGGCAAGAGATGAATTTTTGCATAGGAGTAGAATTCTGATGATGTTCTAGAGAGCAAGAGATATTTGCCTCAAGAATTCCTGTTAATTTCTAAGGGATGTTTGGTTCAAAGAATTTTTTTTAGGTACAGTAATATTCCCAAGATCTCAAATAAATCCAAAATTTTGGAGGGAATGAAAATTTTAAGAATGTGACAAAAAAAAATGAACAAGAATCCATCTCCCGAAGTATCCCTTTACCTATGGAAGTTAAACATTCCAACAAACTGCAAACCAAACAAGGGTATATAAGATTCCAAAGGTCTATATACCTACAGAGATTATGTGATATAACCTTAACCAAATGCCCCCTAAAATGTTCTTTACCTTTCAAGTTTCAAGTCCTTAGATAACTAAAAGAATTGAAGCCAAGTTACAGAGATTTCAGAGCTACATCAAGAACATAAATAAGTAAATAAATAGTGTAACACAGTCTAATGCACTTTTTTCCCTGGGAAAATGGATGGGAAAGAAGCAGGTGACAGGAAAAATCGACCAAACCCAGGCTACAGGTAGTAATCCGTCAAGGAAAATCCATAACCAAAAATAAAGTTTTCAAAGACATCTTCTGGGAAGAAAATGGAGAATTAATTTTTGGGAAATAGAATGGTATTTTGTTTCATAACCATGGACTGCATTCTTATAAGTCAGTTGAAAAAATGCATAGGTAGGAAAAGATCCTATTGCACCATCACCAACTCCATAATGACAATGTACATGAGACAAACAAATCGCATTTGATTGGAAATATCAAACTTCAAACATAAACATATCTCAAGTAAATAGTAAATAGCAGTTCAAATCACAGAAACACGGCAAAAAAGAACCAAGTATACAAGTCTAAACTACTTTTTCAGTAAGCTGATATATTCAATTATTAGCAAAGCAACTAATGAAAGCAGTTTCAGGGCACCATTTCTATGAATGCAATAGAATTCTTTTTCATAAAGAATTTAAATCCTACCTACCAGCAAACGACTTCATGCTGCTCCACGGAAACTTGGCGGTTGCAGCATCACCACCACTACCAGCATTCCTGGTTCGATTTACACCATGGCCACGACCGTATCTCCCCCCCTGGGGCCTCGATTTCCCGTCTTTCCTATCATCAAGCCAATGTGCCTTCTTTGGTTCACCATCCTCAACTATGCTGGATTTCGATTGCTTGCTTGTTTCCTGCTTCATCTGTTCGATTAATCTGATCGGGTAAAACTCCGGTGAGATGGACAAAGGGTTCTTCAGGGTAACATACGCCTTTTTGTAGTCAGGCTTGGCGATCAACAACCCGCCTCGCTTCTTCTTCTTCCCATCCATGTTCAGGGTTTGGACCTTCTCCACTTCGAATCCGTAGAGTGACTCCAAAACCCTCTTTATCTCAATCTGCAATTCGACAAAGCAATTTATACCTATCCAATCTCAACCGAGGAATCAAATATACACATGCGCGCATCTATCCTTATGCATCTACGAACACCAAACGACGCGCATCTATCCTTATGCATCTACGAACACCAAACGACAGATACACGTACCTTGGAAGCGGAAGGGATGGTTTTGAGAGCAATCTCGGTAATATTTTCGAACGAGGACGGCATAAGGAGTTTGATGGGTAAGTTAGCAAAGTGTACTACTCTTCTTCCCAATCTGCTCCCCATTGCAAACTATGGTGAGTTCCCTATCAATGGCCGCTGGCGCTGGGGTTTGCGTTTACGAAATGGTACAGTACTGGTAAACTGATGCCTAGTGAGGGTTTGCGTGAGCTATGCACAATGTCACAAACTCGTTTCGTGATGGTCTTGCAAGAAGCGGATATGAGTATCTGATAACCAGGCCCAATCCAGAATCCTGTAATTCTATTGAATTTAATTAATGGGGATGTTTGGTAAATACTCTGTAACTATTAGCCGATTGGGTTAATACTTTAAAGATATTTGGTAAATTAGCTGTTAACTGATTACACACAAAATCATTTTATAAAATTAATCGAAAAAATTATTTTGAACAATTTTTTTAACATTTTAGCGTTTAAAACAATAAATTATTACAAAAAGTTAATTAATCAAATATTTTAACTAAATTAAACAGTTAATAATGATCAAATAAGTTAAAATTGACTGATAACTGTGTTACTAAATATGACTAATATTCATACTTTCGATATCTTATAGTTGTATACTTTTATTGAATTTGATTAATTTCAAGTTGAGTTGTCTCTGAAACATAAATTAATGTTGTAAAATTGACAAAAACTTGTGTGAGACTGTCTAATTGATAATTTTTTGTGAGAAGTCGGGTTAAGATGAAAATGTAATACTTATACAAAAAAATGTAATATTAATCATGAATAAAGTGTTTGTTAGTTATAAGAATTTTAAGAAGTGTATGTTTTAAAAAAAAAATGTAATATTTTTACATTTTAATTTAAAGTATTACATTTTTTCACAAAAATATTATATTTTCCTTTACAAGCAACAAATACTTTATTCATAATTAATATTTCATTTTTAATATTAATCCGTGAGACGGTCTCACAGGAAAATCACTCTGTAAAATTTAATTGTGTGCATATTTCTTTAGAACACTATCATTCTATAAGAATGCCAATCCTTTCTCAACATATTAACCTGAGGCAGTCAACTTCTGTAAACAATAACAATAATACAGCATTACAGCAACTCTTCCCTATATCTGTCAGTAAATTCAAAACTAGTTTTGGTGTATGGCCAAGTAAACTTCCACTCAAAATGCTGCATCTTCATGATTCCTTCTTCTTAATACGGTATGGGTATTTTTGGTAAATAGAGATGCTAGTAATGACCAGTGGAAGTGCCATGAGGCAGTATATCGAAGGAGGTTTGCCATCAAAGATGAACTGCAGAAGAGCGGTAACAAGGAGCGCAGAGACAATGACAAATCCCTGCATATGTGATAATATCAGGAATGTCCATAAATGAATCGAGGTAAGAGAAAAAGTATCAGTTGCAAGCAAAAGCAAGTTTGAGCTACACGTACGACAAATCTCTATATACTTATTGGAAGGTTGTACGTGTTACAAACAGGAAATAATTCGATCCATATGGGAGAAAATGAAGAGAAGTGTCATGTTTTGATGCACTTAGTATGTCGAAGATGTGTCTATGGTTATCCGAGATATCGAGATGGCTACATTTACATATGCAATTGCGATTTATGTGTGAGTGTGAGAGAGAGCGAGAGAAAGAAAGAGAGGGTTCTTTCTGTGGTACTTGCCTTTCGTACACCACCAGCATAGGAGGTCACAAGACCAACAAGAATTCCACCAACGGCATTTAGTGTAACAGGGATCTGAAACAAAATAATTTATAATATTAGCTATTTTTCTCCATCTTCAGAAACAAAACTTTTAGAAATTTTCATCTGTTTGGAAAATTTCTAGTTTTTAAAAAGAGATTAACTGAATAGAAACCCTGCAAAAACAGTGAGAATCCCGAGAAGATGAGCACAAGCTAGAGGATAAAGAAATTCACAAGCTACATTAGATAGAAATAGGAATACAAATGGGTTTAAAGGCAACTCCCAAGAAATAGAAACAGACCACTTCACAAATTTATAAAATCTAAAAGCATTTTCTCTATATTATAAAGATCTTATACCATTGTCAGTGCAGTCCAACCATAGAACAATCCATGCAGTCTGATGGCTTCTCCATCTGGAGACTTGAAAGCACTAGCTATCAAGCAGAGACTCCCAATTATGGACATTTCAATGGTCATCATGTAAGAACTGTGTTTCTTGACCTGAAGCATATAGAGAAGTATAAATGTGAGTAAATAAACAATAACAAAATTGTCAGCAGAGTAAAGAGAAAAAATGATGGAGATCTGCTTGCCTGAGAGGCCCACTGACACAATGCAGAAGCCAAGCCAGAGAGTACAGAAGCTACCAAGACTGGAGCAATCCCATAGAATAAGATTTCATCAGGATTATTATTATTACTAGCAGATGCTTTGCTGGAGCCTTCACCAATACTAAGAAGGACAGCCGCAATAATCAACAAGAAAAGAGCCCCAATTTGTTGAATTGTTTGCTTCTGCCTACGGAATAAAACAGAAAAAGAAAGTGATTTCTGAGATGCTGGCAAGTGAAGTTTACAGTCAGCACTACAATGTCATATAAGCAACGCAAAACTTGATCTGAAGAAACAAAAAGAGATCCAGGATCTGGATAAAATGCAATTAGAATGAAGGGCATTCCACTAATCCATGGACAAAACCAGTCACGGAAAAAATTGGTCAACACAAAATTTGAGTAACATTAGGTAAACTTACTTTTACAGCCAGGGTAGCTTCATTAAACCTTTATGCATACCCTCAATGGGTAACTAATTTAATATATCATTTAGCTGGCAACTATAAGTCAGAAATCTGTTAAAGAATAGGCCTTGTTTGGTAAATGGCCATTAGCTGATAGCTGTTAGCTGATTGGGTTAATTAAAAGGTATAACTAGTTGATAACATTAACTGATTGTAGAAATGTGTTTGGTAAATTAGTTGTTAGCTGATAGCTGATAGCTGTTTGGTATAATTTCTTTTCTCAAAAAGCTAATTGAAAAAGTTGGTTTGAGTAGCTTTTTGAATTTTAGCATTTTAGAGTACAAAAAGCTAATTAACCAAACACTTATATTGATTTTTAAACCAAGTCAAACAACTAATAGTGGTCAAATAAGCCAAAATTAGCCTATAGGCTAACTATTTTACCAAACAGGGGGCTTGTGCCTTCTAGAACCAATATTATAAAGGCTTGTGCCTCAATGAAAAATATATATCAAAGACACTTTTGACTTAATACAAAAGAAATTGATGAGTCCCACAGAAACCATGTGATGTTAGTAACAATCCTAAAGTTGATCTGAAAAGGAAAGTATTTGATGAGCACAGGCATACCTCAATATTATAAAGGTAAACAAAGCAGTGAAAAACAGCTTTGTTTGGTTCAAAATTGAAAAAGTGAGAGAATCAAGATTCTTGTATGAAATCTGCAACAAGCTATTCTGGAGTGCATATATAGCAGCAGGTAGCCCTGAGGCAGTCAACGAGCCAACCAAAGTCCAATTCTTGAATAGTTTCTTCAGATTACCTTCTTTTGCTATTAGAATAAGAGCACAACTAACCTGCAATTCAATGTCAATGCCACTGAGTACACAAACAATGAATTGAAGATCAACTCATAGATTGGGGAAGGGAGGGGCAGGTGGGAGAAGCGAAGAAGGAAAAAATTACCTTGACTAATTCACATGCTAAAACAGATGAAGTTACAATCACCTCTCGGCTGCAGGAAAGATATGATAGGAACTTCAGGAGGGAACATGCTTATCATGGGGTGACACAACAGAAAGATTAAAAACAAGTACTTCCAACAGCATATATGATTATGGATGCAACTATAATAATTCTATAAAGTGGAAATCCACACCAATAACTTTGAAAACAGTTTCTTGCTTTTAAGGAAAAAAGAAGAAAACAAAAAACTAATTCTTTTCCTTTATCTATTTAACAGTAGGTATTTTAGGTTATAAAACTTAAATGTTTCCAATGATCAGGAATCACGTAAATTTTTCTCGGATAAAAACCAATTTTAAATACAAATTGCTTCACTTCATGTCAGTTTAGTTACCTAATATGCCTTAGGGCATTCAAGTGGAGACAAAGATCACCAGTGAGCATACAGAATCTCATTAAGATCAGATAGTTCTGAACTTCTGATGTTATGCAGTTTCAGATGGTTTCTTTTGGCATTACTTCATATGCTGCATGTGCAGTAAAAGATAAAAAGTTTTATTTTCCAATGGTTGAAGGATCAAACTATTATCTTTCCTGAACAATAAGTGCTTGTCATACTACTAGTGTTGAATAACGCATTAACGCTTAATCTAACTTTTTCTTTCTTTTCAGATATTTAAGATTATGATGCTTCCCAGTTCCCACAAGTGATTAATCCCTTTTTCTTTCTTTTCAGATATTTAAGATTATGATGCTTCCCAGTTCCCACAAGTGATTAATCCTACTGTTAATCCAGCAGGCATGCTTAATCCTTGCAGACATTAACACAAATGATAATACTATAAATCAAAATAACAAAAAATGCACTCTCTGGATACAAGTACATGCAATCAAATATATACACGGAATAATTGATAAAGTGAAAAGCATAACATCCACGCACAATTAAGAAGATCAGGGAATAGTGATAAGCAAAATTAGAACCTGACAAAGCGTTTGGAGATGAGTGGCTGAAAGCCATACTGGAGGGTGAGCAGTAGCGAAAAAAGCCAGATCTTTGGGCTTGTGTTCGCATTCGGATTCGTTACTGAAGCTTTGGGTTTGGTCGCCGACATTGCCGGGCGACCCGATCGAGGGAAAACGAGGTCGGGTTGCCTTGCCCGGTGATCAGGTCGCGATGAAGCAGAAAAGCTATGATCTCAGCGGGATGAAAGTATTAAACGAGCTTTGAGAATTTTGATTTTCAGTTCAGTCGATAGAAAAGGAAAAGGTAGACGATAAGGTAATGAGACTCGGCGTTGAATATTACTTTGGCTGAACGTGAGGAATTGACTAACGGAAAAAAAGGAGAGATAAGATTGGGTATTTGAACTCCAAATCTTTATTGATGACAAGAGTCCACGGTCACTTTCCAGAGGCTCTGAAGCGTTGAGTCTGATGAGAACTGATTGTATTATATTTTCTGAACTTGATTACAATGAGATCAGATGATGTGAATATATATACAATAGAGAGTCACAGTGTGATAATGATAAGAAGTAGAGAGTCACAGTATGACAAGAATAAAAAGTTCTAAACAGACTCAGATACATAGAGTCCTAATACTCCCCTCAAGCATAGTGTATACTAGGGGTGTGCAAATTTCGGAGAAATTTCAGTTAACCGACCGAACCGACGAAATTCGGTTAATCGTTTTCGAACCGAAATATTTCGGTTCGGTTAATGATTAAAGGTTTTCCTAAAATTTTGTTAACGGTTAATTCGGTTCGAAAGTGTCGGTTAACCGAATTAACCGAACGGTTAACCGAATTTTGGAATATATATATAATATATAATATATTAAATATTAAATATATAATTACTAAAATCATAAATAGTCAAAATGTCAAATAGAATAAATAATAATATGAATTTATTATGATATGTATTTTATTTTAATTGGAATTATTATTTTAGGAATTATTTTATGGATTTTAAATTTTAGGGTTAAAAATTTCGGTTAATCGGTTAACCGACCGATTAACCGAAAAAAAGTTCGATTCGGTCAATTCGGTAGAGTAAATTTCGGTTCGGTTAACGGTTAAAGTTAAAAAAAAAAAATCGGTTAATTCGGTTCGGTTAACCGTTCAACCTAATGAACACCCCTAGTGTATACTAGTAACCGGTAGCTTGTCCCTTAGAGAAGAAAATCTAGGTCCAGGCAGAGCTTTGGTGAAGATATCAGCAAGTTGATCCTTTGTGGAGATGAAGTTGACTTGAATATCGTCTGAAGTTACTTGATCACGAACAAAATGATAATCAATCTCCACATGCTTGGTGCGCGCATGAAAGATTGGGTTGGCACTCATATATGTAGCTCCTAGATTATCACACCGTAATTTTGGAATGGAAATACCTGGAATCTGTATCTCACGCAATAATGACATAATCCATAGAACTTCAGCACAAACATCTGCAAGAGCTTTGTATTCAGCCTCAGTGGATGACCTAGCAACAGTTCTCTGTTTCTTGCAAACCCAGGATATAATATTACTCCCCAAGAAAACAGCAAAACCACTCGTGGATTTTCGATCCTCAGGACAACCAGCCCAATCAGAATCAGAGAAGGCATGAATGTCTCTAGATGAGCATCGTCGTATGCGCAAACCATGATCAACTGTTCCCTTAACATACCTGAGTACCCGTTTTAGCTGCTCCAGTGTGACATGGTGGGAGCATGCATATGTTGGCATAACTGATTAACTGCAAAGGATAGGTCAGGTCGTGTGACAGTGAGATATTGCAGTGCTCCAGCTAGACTCCTGTACTATGTGGGATCATCATATAGATCTGAATTAAAGGGGACAGTTTTCGAGATAGAGATAGGTGTAGAAAGGGGTTTGCATTCAGACATTCCAGCCCGTTTTAAAATATCATTCATATACCGTTGTTGAGATAAAATAATCCCATTGTCATTCTTAACTGTTTCAATACCCAGAAAGAAATTTGGTTTACCAAGATCTCTGATTTTGAATGTAGCCGACAGTTTGGACAAGAGCTGAGACATAATACGCTGATCACTTCCCATTACAAGAATGTCATCCACGTACACTAATAGATAAACCAAAGCAGAGTCTTTAGAGTAATAGAACAGAGAGACATCTGTCTTGGATGCTTGAAAGCCAACTGATAGTATGTAGTCGATTAAACCAGGCTCTGGGAGCTTGTTTTAACCCATACAGAGATCTTTTTAACAAACAAACATGATTCGGAAAGTTAGCATCAATATAACCAGTGGGTTGCTTCATATGAACTGTTTCAGCCAGATTACCATTCAGAAAAACATTATGAACATCTAGCTGTTTGATAGACCACCCAGATGATAAAGCTAGAGATAGAAGGAGTCTTACAGTCGTAGGCTTTACCACTGGACTAAATGTGTCAAAGAAGTCCTGGCCTGGAACCTGATTAAAACCTTTCGCAACCAGTCTGGCTTTATGCCTTTCAATAGTACCATCAGCCTTTCTCTTCGTACGAAACACCCATTTACAGCCAATAATATTCATACCTGCAGTGGGTGGAACTAGAGACCATGTGTGGTTATGCAGGAGAGCATTAAATTCTTGGTCCATGGCTTCACGCCACTCAGGATATTTGATAGCTTGAGAGTGACATGTGGGTTCCGTGGGATGCACCTGAGCTGCTAGAGCAAAAAGATGAGCATCTGCGTTGCTGCGAGTGGCCATAGAGTGAGTACGGACATTGGGCCTGGTGGACCGCCCACGTGGACGGCCTCGCTGGCGAGCAACGGGCTCCACCGGATCACCCGACGAGGCAGCCTGTCCGGGATCCACGGCTGGTTCGAATGAAACTGGTAGCGGCAGATCTGGCGGCTCATCATTGGACACGGCAGGAATAGGTGTGCTATGACTGAGAACAGATTCCACCTAAGGTCCAGAAAACAGAGTAGATAGATCCTGCAAAGAAGTTTTAGTAGCAAAGGGGAAAACTTCTTCATCAAATCTGACATGTCTGCATGTGTAAATCTTATTAGTATGTAAGTCCATGCATCTGTACCCCCTAAAGGACTCAGGATAACCTAGGAAGACACATGGAGAAGACCAGTATGACATCTTATGACGATTATATGGTTAAAGATGAGGGGATAGCATAAACACCCAAAGACACGGAGAAAAAGATAGGAATGAGGAGATTTATGTAACAAGAGATGAGGACTGGAGTTATTTAATACAGAAGATGACATTCTGTTAATTAAATAGACAGCAGTCTTAAAGGCAAAATCTCAAAATTTCAAAGGAACATAGGCATGAGCTAGAAAAGCCAGACCAGTTTCAACAATGTGACGATGTTTCCGTTCAACACGACCATTCTGTTCATGTGTATAGGCACAGGATTGTCTATGTTGAATTCCTAATTGAACAAACGAAGAATGCAACTTTTTGTACTCAGCACCTAAATCAGACTGAATGGCCTTTATTTTGCAATTAAAGGACCATTCAACAAGAGTACGAAATTTATCAAAGATGACATAAAGATCAAACTTTAATTTCATAGGGAAAAACCATGTATAACGGGAATAGTCATCCACAAGGATCACAAAATAACGGAAGCCAGAAGTAGATAAAGTGGGCGCATGACCCCAAATGTCTGTGTAAATAAGATCTAGGACTTGAGAACTAGAGGAAGCAACACGGGGGAGGGAAAAACGGGCAAATTTGCCTAATTGACACGCATTGCATAAAGAATTATGACAACGAATATTATCACGAGACCCACTAACCAAAAAAGAACGAAGTATGTGGCTAAGAACACGGTTATGAGGATGACCCAGACGATTGTGCCAAGTGGAAGCCGAGGCACGAGCGGAAAGAACGCTGACGGAGACGAACTAGGTAATGAAAGTGTGTATAGTCCCCCCGAACTATTTCCCCGAAGAAGTATTTCCTTGGTATTGGTATCCTTCACAACAAAAAAGGAGGGGTGAAACTCAAAAAAGACTTTATTATCGGATGCAAACTTCTGAACAGATAATAAAGAAGTAGACAAACGTGGAACGTGAAGTATATCAGACAATGTAAATGATCTAGAAGGGGTATTAAAAGAGGCATGGCCAACATGACTAATAGATAAACCCATACCGTCACCGACACGTAAAGTGTCATTACCAGTGTACTTCTCCGATGTAGACAGGGCAGCGATGTTTGGAGTTGCATGATTTGTGGCTCCAGTGTCCGGAACCCAAGTATGAGAATTTGACGAAGTTTTAGCAACTAAATCATTCTGAAACACCAAATTAGCCTGAGAACCCGGAGCCCCTGAATATCGCCGAAAACAGTTGACTCCCGTGTGACCGAAACTTTTACAAATTTGACACGGATCATTATAGCGCAAAAAACAATTGATTCCTGTGTGGCCGAAACCTTTACAGATTTGACACGGATCATCAAAGCCACGTTGCTGACCTCCACGGTAATTAAGGTTGCCACCGCAGCGTTGCATCTTCTTGATTTTATGAATCACAAAACCCTAGCTCTGATACTATATGAGAACTGATTGTATTATATTTTCTGAACTTGATTACAATGAGATCGGATGATGTGAATATATACAATAGAGAGTCACAGTGTGATAATGATAAGAAGTAGAGAGTCACAGTGTGACAAGGATAAGAAGTTCTAAACAGACTCAGATATATAGAGTCCTAATAAGCCTTAGGGAAACACTCAGTTGGCTCATGGATATTGGGATGGGTAATGTTGAAGTTGAAATGGATTCCCAATTGGTGTTTAATGCTTTGAATTCTTTTTCGTTTACTTCGAGTTTTGGACTTATTATTGATGGGAATTAGCAGTCACACTTGGTGGTATTGTTTTCCGTTTTATTAAGCGATTTGCGAATCGTATTGTCCATAGTCTAGCGAAGGAGGCCTTTTCTGAGTCAGGTTGCGGGGAATCCCCTACTTTCATTGTAAGTGATTCAGCCAATGATTTAATGAATTAATTCTTCCTCTTCAAAAAATAGTAAAAGTGATTATTTGGATTAAACATTTAAACACAGTTATAGGGTGTTTAGTAGCTAGAGAAATTTGAACTTTATTGCCTCTTGATAATTTAAAAGGTAGAAAAATTATTCCGATATTTGGTGTAATCTTTAACTTAGGAAAGTTTAGATGAATAGAAATCATATTTCATGATATCAAGGAAAGTAAATCTTATTTAAGGGGGTGAGATTTTTTTTTCCTAGCCTATTGAAAAACTGTCAATGTTATTCAATTACATTTTTTTTGTGTCATATTGCATTGTTAAAAATCTCTTATGTAGCAATGATATATTAGAGACTTTAACAATT